GACGGCAGCAGCTCCGCCGGCGGGACGAGCTGCTCCATATCCCGCACGTGGATGCAAAGCGCGTGATCGGCGCTCGCCTCGGCGAGGACGCGGCGGCGCAGATCCCCCCACACCACCTCCTTCGACGGCGCCGCGAGGCGGTCCACGTCGCTCACCCCTCCCCGCCACTCGCCTCCCGTCGCGTCGTCCAGGGGGCCCGCGCGGGAGGGGATTCGCGATGACAAGGGGCGATCCGGCAAGGCGGCGTTATCCACTTGGTTCAAGTAGCTGTCAATCGAGCCCGGGTCCTGCGGGAACGCACAGAAAAAGGAGGCGACGGAGTCGGAAACCATAAAAAGCTTCGTGACGCTCGCGCGCTCGGCGACCAACTCCTCCTCGGTCGGCGGCGGCTGCTCCTTGATGCAGTTCTCCGTGAAATAAATGGTCGGGCTGATGAAATGCGACCTCCACCAATTTTCAGGCGCGGCGCCGGAAGGGGTCGTGCCCGGACGAAAGTCGATGATCCCGGCGACGACGCTATCCCCCCTCCTCTTATCGCTCCCCCCTCCCTCTCTTTTCCCGGCACGGCCGGCGTTCACCCGACGCTCCGGTGGAGATGCCGTTGCTTTTCGGCTTTTTGCTCGTTTTTTCATCGGCAAGGCGGCCGCGTCGGGGCTTGAAGCCGCCTTCGCCCGCGCATTCGCATTTGGCGAGGGGCTTTTAGACGACGAGGCCTTCCCTCCCGGTCGGCTGCCAGGGGCCAGGGGGGAAGGGGAGGGGGGGTCGGGTTCTTTCTTCACGTCGTCGTCGACCGCTTTGCGACCTCGCTTTCGTTTCGGTGGTTGAGCGGGGGTGGCGGTGGGATCGTCCACGGATGGGGTTTCCCCCGGGTTCGCCTGCTTCCTTTCCACCTCCGGAGGCTTGGTAGTCGGGGAGCCTTTCGCGGAGGCCTCAGCCCCGGTCGGATCTCTGTCTGTTACCGGCGGTGGATCATTGCCAGGGCTGTCTGGGAACGCGTTGGAGGCCGCCGCGTAACCCTCTTCGGGTGCCTTCCCACTAAATTCGCTGCCTTGGTAGATGGTCGGACAGGAGAACTTGTCTCTTGAACTTTTACGCCAGATGGTGCCGCAGGAAAAATGGCGTGTGGGGCTCAAGAAAGAAGAAAACCCCGTCGAAACGGGCCGTTTCAAGGGCCCGACATATGAACTAAGGAAGCTCACTTTGCAGCGATAGACCGTGTCGATGGAGCCTGTTTTGGGTGCAATCCCAACAAGTGGACATGGTGGTGTAGAGAGAGCGTTGCGTAAAAAACGCATATAGATGTATATGTGCTTGTTACAATCTAATGAAAGTGAAATACACTTTTTTTTTGTCCTTTGGAGGCCTTTGCTACACTTGCTACACAGATAAGTCTATTCGCTTAGTGTAATAGGAAGCCAAATAAAGCGAAAAAACGTAGTGAAAAAAATGCCTCACTGATTGCTTTGTATATGCCTTTACGCAAAGCAAAGCAGCGGTGAAGATATCCGAGAGGCGCGATGAAAAGCGACAAGAGAATATCAATTGCACACTCTATACTTAAAAACCTTACTTTGCAAGAAGTTTGTATAACAGAAGGAAAAATTTTCCTGTTACCCTTATCTCGTATTCCTTTCCTTTCGACTAAGAAAGGGGACCTTGAAACAAAATGAGAACGCGAAAGGGATCAGGAGAAAAAGTTCGCGAGTCACACCACGGAAAAAAAATACTTAGCTCAAATAGAGGATTGCAAAGGTCAGATTAGTGTTGCCTTTATTGTAATAAAAGATATAATTTCATTCGATTCGTAGAAGTTCATGAGTAGAACACGAATCCCTCTAGCGGAAGTCTATCTAATTGGTCGGGTGTACGGACTAAGACCCGACCTCTTATCGCGGACTTTCTTGTGAAACATTTAGGCCCTCATCCCGAGCCGCAAGCGTGGAGTGGCCTCGTTTCCATTCACCTGATAGGATGCCATCCCTGGAACGACTTTCGCCCCCTTGGGAGGCGTCATCCCCGTTCAGCAACAGCGAGTAGTACTTTGAAGCACTAAGGCATAAATCCCATGAACCCCTTTGGCGGGGTGGGAAGGGGGTATCGACAGGATCGAACGCAGCCGCACCACGCTTATCGATTGGGTTGTTCGGCAGGGAAAGGGTTTGAACGATATCACCCCGGCTCGCGCACGCCGTCCGAGAAATCCACGCCCGCGACAACTTCGTAAAAATAGAAAACGAGGAGCTGTTTTTACGCACAAATGAAAGAAGTTGTCTCTCTGCTAGAAGAGAGCGCTTGTGCAACGATGGTATGAAAACCAATTTGGTATCCTTAGGAGACGGGTGGAAAGGTTCGGTCGAAGATGTAGAGGTGAGATAGGCTGTGTGATTCTGTGGGGAATCCGGTGGGTTCTTTCCAAGAGCAGCTGTATCTCTCTGAAGCGACGCACGCGTCAAACCGACAGCCTCGCTAGTAATCGAAATCGTGGCTGAGGATGGAGACGGACGCAAGACGTGTGTGGATGAGGAGACTGCCCTATTAAAGCCGTTCTTTGCACGAGGCAAAGCTTCGCTAGCATTGCTCCGGACTTTTGGGGGAGCCTTCTTTCGCGGTGGATGTCCAACACGCGAGGCCGAAGTCGCGGAGGCTCGAGGGGCTAAAACCTGCTTCTCTGCTTTCCGCACCTCATGGACTTTTTTCAACCTCTCCGAATTCAAGGAGGACGAACCAACACTTCGCGCAGATGGTGTTAGGGTATTACGTTGCTCAGAGCTTTCGCGCTTTTTTGTCTGAACGAAGAGATCCCTTCGGCTCTCCGTCGGCACATTTTTCAAAACTGCAGGCTGCTGGAGAGCAGCCCGTGGTAGCCTACGACGCGCATCGACATTGAGCCTTGAAATCAGCCAAGCTTTAGTTTTCCATCTAAAGAAGGTTTTTGCGGATAGATGCAGGGCGTAATGATTATCGCTTCTGTTTTCCATGCGTGAATGCGTATTGGCCTCGAGAGCCTGCCGATGGGATGTCAACCGGCGTGCCCAGTGCCGGAGGCTACCCCGTGCGAGCGCATTCAGATGAAATCCCTCCGCAATCTCACCCTGCCCCTGCCACCACGCCAGACGGTATCGTGTTCGGCCCGCCCAGCGATCCCAAGCGGTCTGAATCAACGTTCCTCGCCCCAGACAGCCCTGTTTCTGCACCTCATGAAGTCGTCTTCGCAAGGCAAGGCGTTTTTTCCAAAAAAAAAAGTCCCGCTCCAGTCGCCTGTCTTCATGCCGTCTTTGCAAGGCAACCCCGCGTTTGGTAGCAGTCCCTCGCAGAGTGTACTGCATTTTCCAACGCTCAAACGTTTCCTGCACCTGTCTACGCGTATAATTCAGTGAAAAAGCGCTTAAGCGGATTTGCTTTTCAAAGCGATCACACCATTTTCTAAAGACGGATGCTTTAAGGCGCTTATTGTAGCGCAGCAGGAGAGATTGATGGCATCGTTGTTGCTTAGCCCGCAACATCAGCCTCAACAGCGTCTTTAATTGCTCTCGCTGCCTATGCCACCTCAAGGCATGCTCGAGCAGAAATCGCGCACGCCAGCGATTCCAAACGCCCTTAAGTCCCCATCCTTGTTCGTGATTTTCGACATCCAAGAAGGAGCCGACGCCGGTGTGAACGTTTCTGCGGCCATACGCAAAACAGACGACTACTAGACGCCAACGACGAAACACACGCCGCCCGATGGTTTGCATAGAGAACTGAGCCACGAGCGCGAGATCCCGCCAGCGCCGCAGCACGCCACGCAACACCTCGTGCGCTTTTGTTTCCAATACCTGTGCGCACCGTTGCTGATCCTCAAGTTCTTTCCGCGATCGAAAGTGCGCTTTTAGCCGTTTCAACCAATGTCTAAAGGCGGCCTCGCGCGTGTGTTCACAGCAGAGGGTTTGCACGTAGCGGAGAGCGACTGTCGTGTAGTATCGATCATCCCGCCAGCGCAAAAAGAGGTAGCGCACGCGTCGAAGAGAGGAGCTCTTCGAAAAGCACATCAACAACGACTCCGTAGGGGAAGATGGTAACGAAGGAGAATTAGAAAACGTCTCCAAACATTTGGGATCCTTTACGCCATTGCTCACGCGGTTTAACGGAGGATCTGGAATCACCTGTGTAAGAAAGGTTCCCGTGCAATTGCTTTCGACCAAATTGTCAGGGGGTGGAGATGGGGTTTGAAGGTGCGGCATCGAGATCCCATCGGAGTTTTTACCTGGAGAGGGCTTCGCAGTCGAGGGGGTATGATCTTCGGGAAACAGACAAGTGGCTGCCGGTATCCGCGCCTCGTATTGGCTATTATCCGCCCCGTTGTGAATCGTTGATTCCCTGTAGAAATCGTCATCGAGCAAGGCCGATTGGCCTTGCCTACCTGTCCGTTCCCTATCTTTCGTTCCCTGCAATCCGGAATCTAAGTCATCCGATTCTTTATCGCCATCCTCTATCTTGGACGAGGGGAGTGGACGATCGATTTTGGTAGCGTCACGCACCACCCTCCCTTCTGGAGGATCGTCAACGCCCGGCGAGGGGGCCGATGCGGCCGCTTCAGCTGACGGCTGACGAGTTACCGGCAGCGAGGCGAAGGCGCTGGGGAGCGAGGGGATGGAGCGATTTGCAATCGAAGAGGGCGCGTCATCAGTGTCCACGGTGCTTTCCTTTTCGTCCGCATTCGGCAAACCAGCGCGTTCGACCCCATCCCACACCATCGCCACCTGCTCGCCCTTACTCCTAACCATCGTTAACGCTGATGCGCGTTGCGTGGGTTGATTATCCAGGGGATAAGGAGAGGGTGAGGAAATGAGCATCTCGCCGGAGCTGTTCGGTATCGCTTGCGATTCCTCGCCCGTTTCCACCCCGTTATACCCACCAGCTAAAAGCTTCCGCAGCACGCCAAACCCTCGACGAAGACGCCAGTGGTAAAAGGATTTCTTCAAGAGGGTTGTTTCCCCCCACACCCTCGCGTGCTCCATCAGCGAAACGCATAACAACCAGCGAGGCAGGGCCTCGCGCATCCAGCGATGCGGGCAGCCACAGGCAACATCGAAATCGACCTCGGTGGGTTTTCCCGTCAAGGCCGCCTCCCGACTCCAGGTGGTTTCATTCCTCAGAGCTGCATACCCCACCTCTGGGAAGACCTGGAGGAGAAGTTCGGAAACGAATACCACGCGTTCGCCATGCCGCGCGCCGGTTTCCCTTTCATCCCCCTTCGGGGTGATGCTCCCAACGGTATGCACCTCAGGGCTCACATCCAACGCGCATCGAAGAAGATCCCCTATCGACCCCGACGCGTGGTGGAGATCTCCATCGTTGGCCTCGTCGTTGATTTCCCCTTTCCATTCTCGGAGGATCCACTGACTGAGCTGCGCGAGGGCGCCCGCGCACCACGCCACGTCCGAACGCACGACGCGCGCGAGGCGAGCCGCCAGGGCGCCTTTTTCGTGATCGCAGCGCTGAAAAGGGTATGCGGTGCAGCGAAGAAGATGCGCGGCCGTCAGGATGCCGTACAAGGGGGCCGATCGCAGGTAATCCCTCGCACTCGCAGAGGAGGGAAAGGGGGAAACCCTCTCCTCGAGGTGACGAGATGAGAGGGTCGCCATTCCCCCGGATCGAGCACTTGTCAGCCCGCTGACGAGCCCTAATCCATCCTCTTTGGAAAGGCTGGAGCCCTTTGAGGGGTCCGCCGGACCGGCGGCTTCCTCATCGTTGACGAACAAACCCTGGCGATGCCTCCGACCAAAAAGTCGACTTTGCAAGAGCGGCTCCTGACGGGTATCCGCGGGGCTTGACGTCAACGCCTCCTCCTCTTGTGTAAAGGGCGATGCGGCGAGATCGCTGTCGGATAAACAGCGGAGTGCGAGAATCACGTGGCAGGCGTGGACTAATACCACTTGCTGGAGAACCTGACAGGAGCCTCGATGCAGCAAAGGCCCTTCGACTCTGGACTCCGACAAGGGGAAACCTAAGTTCATCTAAAACTCTAGCTTTGGCGATGATGTGTGGTGTCTTCACACACTCGCATGGGTTATTAATAATGAGGGGGGGGGAGGAAGAATGTCTCGAGATAAGCATAAATGTGTAATTCAATAATTTATGCGTTTAAAAAGAGTACTTGCCCCCACTTAAGTATGAAAGCTGTCAGTGGTATAATGTATCACGACATGAATCGCTATTCGTACTCCCTCTCCTTCCTTTACTAACTTAGAAAGGTGGATTTAGGGAAAAAAAAACAGCAACGCTCAATGAGAAATTTCACGTCCACATGGAAAAGATATAATAGTACCATGAAGGGACTTGTTATGGGAAGCAAATGAAAGGATTGAATCCAAAGCCCTAAAAAGTCAGCACAGCACCCATAGAGTCGGCAAAAACTGACATTGTCGCTAGTTAATATTCATAGATACACAGAATAAAAAAGCAACTAGTAAGCAAAACACGCAAAAAAAAAAGATAAAAAAGTAAGGTATCAAAGAATAGGTATCCAACCTATCGAGGATGTTTTAGTTTCGTTCTTTTGTTTCAATGCTCCAGCAAAGGGACCCTTTTTCGTTCTTGCATCTTTGATCAACGCACGCCCCTTCCCCCCAAAACAACAGCAACAACAACAACAACAACCAACGAGAATTTCTTTTCCTCCCATTGTTCCACCACAACGCACCCCCCTCCCGCTTCTTTTCCTTTTCGCCCTTTCTACGTGATAAAAATGCGATGCGCGACTTCGGCGTGCCCCGGTGTTTTCGGGCTGAGGTACAGAAGCCCGCCGTTTCGTCGGCGGGCCCCTCGCATGGTTGAAATCCCGTCCTCGCCGTGGCTTCGCGCGTTCCGCGGGATCTCCGCCTCACTGACGATCACCCCACTCGGCAGCGCGACTGGGGTGGTTTCCTCGCCCGCGCCCTCCATGCAGGTGGCGGAGCTCACGCAGTAGTACCGGGTGGGGCGTTTAATAAACATGATATCCCCACCCCACACATCCTCCGCGGCGAGCAGCTCATCGGGCATCAAACGGGGGGGCCTAAACGGCGGCCGGCGCGCGGCCGAG